TTCTATGAACTGCACTTTCGTACGAGCTAAACTACTCCAATTTCACAAAATTTAATCTACTCTTGTGGGCGGGTGTAAATCATTCAACACCTGTCTTTTTTGGTCAAAGGGCACATCACATACACTGCACACATGCCCGAGCGTATCACTAGCAGAAATAGAACGTTCATCGACCTCCATGTTGTTTCAGCGTTTGTAGACAATGTTCGACTTTCTGAAAGGAAATGAGTTGAGGAGGGCAAGCTTTAAGCTCTAATTTCACGGAAGTTGTGCGGTTTTATGGGAAACCCTGATTTGTCACGTCTAATATATGACTTCACAGTTATCACGAGTTGCTTCGAACACGTTTGAACGCGAAAACTGAAGGTCATCGCAAAATAATAGTGGCTGAACCCGTAGGTCTCAAGATTTTAAGAAGAATAAACAATAGTGGGACGAAATGCGGTGTTAGCTGAAAGAAAACAACGTTTGTTTGTTCTTCGTGGCTTGAAAAATCTTGCCCTCCACACGCACCAGATTGCCTCTGTGAATCTCGAAGCTTAACACGCTGACCAAATATTTCTAAGCCTCAGTAAACTAGGCGAATTCAAACAGTCGCCAGTTAACACTCATTGCGTTGGACCCGCGCGCAATCTTTCGAACAAACAAATAAAAATAGCCTGTGTAATAACAAAATTACATTACATTTAGTTTATAAAGAGATCTGCGTCGCCATTGGTTGGCTGTTGATGGGGTCGCACACTGCCTGTCAGCTCTCACGTGACGGGAGTCGTATTTAGCCAGAGCGCTTGCGTATATCAACCAGTTCTTTGCTCCACGTGATGACGATAAACCAGCTCGCTACTCGGAGCTCTCGACAGATGGGAGAAGAAATGGCGACCAAGCTCGAAGAGGGCTCCGATAGAGGCACAGATGGGGTTGCCGGAACTCCCAAAGAAGCGGCTCTGCGAGAGCTGATGGAGAGAACGAAATACCCGATACGGCAGTTTAATGGACAACGGAGATATGGGCCTCCACCGAGCTGGGACGCGCCTCCTCCTCCACGTGGATGTGAAGTTTTCGTAGGCAAAGTTCCTCGAGATTTGTATGAGGACGAATTGGTCCCTGTATTTGAGTCGTTAGGCGAAATCTACGAAGTTCGGCTAATGATGGATTTCAACGGACAAAATCGCGGCTACGCGTTCGTTGTTTACACAAATAAGGAAGACGCCAAAAAGAGTGTCAAGACACTGAACAATTACGAAATTCGTAAGGGAAAATGTATCGGCGTTTGTAGTTCGGTCGATAACTGCCGCCTGTTTGTAGGAGGCATTCCCAAGAAAGTTAAGAAGGACGAAATCATGAATGAGATGATCAAAGTCACAGACAACGTTGTGGATGTAATTGTTTACCCTTCGGCGCAGGACAAGACGAAGAACCGAGGCTTTGCGTTCGTGGAGTACAGCTCACATCGCGACGCTGCGATGGCTAGAAGAAAACTCATGACGGGTAAAATACAGCTATGGGGACATCAGATCGCTGTTGACTGGGCTGAACCGGAGCAAGAAGTGGATGAAGAAATAATGGATCAGGTTTGGAATTTTTTTTTATTTACAACGAAGTTACATCGTTACCCAATGTTGCCCCTCCCCCAATCTTCGCTTCTCGAAGGGTGCTGCGATATCTCCGCTCTTGAGGTTTCGTTTCTAGCGATTAATTTTAGTTTATAAACTCAGCATTTGTTTAGAGTTAAATACTGCAGTAGTTTAGACTAAAACAGTCGGTGCTTTTTTATGCTTGGTTTGAGCGCTGTAGAGAAGTTTATTTGTTGATGTCGTGTTAGCCTTGTGCCTTTGTTCAACGGGGCTTGTCTTTGTCGTTGTTAAGTATTAGGTTTTTATTGAAGTAATTAGTTACTCTGTGTAGTCTTTTGTCGTTTTCACGGCGATTATGTCGGGAACACGATTCGATGCAAAGCCATAAGCGGCCGGGATACATCAATGGAACCGCAAGCTATCGATTTAATTCTTTTCCACTTTCGCTTTGTTTTTAAGGTGAAAGTTCTCTACGCCCGAAATCTGTTATTAAGCACCTCGGAAGAAACGATAGAACAAGTCTTCAGCAAATTTGGGGAGGTAGAAAGAGTGAAGAAGATCAAAGATTACAGCTTCATCCACTTTCGAACGAAAGAACAAGCCAGGGCAGCCCTAGAGGCCATGAATGGTAATAAAACTTTCATGTTTATGTTTTGTGAATCGATAACTTTTCCAACAGGTACGGGGAGGGTTTGTTGAAGCCTGTCAATGCATTCCCCGTGGTCGGTCAACGTAAACCCGCTTCCTTTCTGTGTACCAGAATCAATTGTTTTCTATTTTCCATTGTTAGGTTTAATGGCAAATTTCACACTTGATTTGCCAACTTTTGTTTCGCGGGTGCTGTGAAAAAATTTCCCGGGGGATCGATTTGTGAAGCGGCTTCCAGTGTTTTGTTTCGAACAAGCCGTGATCTCTCAGTCGCTTCCTGTAACATTTCTCAGAAAGAAAACATGTTCAAGGGTATCTTATTGAGATTTTAAATGTCAGGCTGAAACCTCTCACTTATCTGTTAGCAGTTTGAAGTTTTTTTTTTTAAGTTCTCGTGTATTTTTTCTTCGTAACAGTTACCGTAGTGATTTGAAATCGAACCCTCTAGAGTCGAGCGTGCCTGTGTTTATATTTTTGCGTCATTTGATACAAATGTTATTTCTAACTGGAGGTCCAAAATTTCGATCTTTCCGCGCCGTGTTACCGCTTCGGAGAAAAGTGTAATCCAGATTTGTTAGTTTACACCTCTCCCAACGTGCGAAAACGCGTTGCTAAAGCGAAGTAACGTTAAGATTCTTTTGCCGACTTCAAGACTTCCACCGGCTTTCCGCGGGATCTCAGTGCATTTTATAATTTCTTTTTATAATGAAACGCCATCAAAGAAAACTTGTTATAGTTGTCACGTTTATCATATGTCTTTTTTGGACTCGGAATGTTTCCATTTGTTTCTTGGCCACAGCACTGAGCTTTAAAATTTAAGCTCAACTCAAACTTAAAATTACCGGAAGCGTGTTAGTCACAAGAGCTTCTACGTAACTATATCTGAGCAGCTATTAATAGCTCCCTTGTCGTTGTCGCGCACAGTTCTTTTAATTGACGCTCATATTTTTGCCATATTTAGCCTTGCCGTTTAGAACATTAGGTTTTACTGTTAGGAGTTCTCATCCCACTCCTTGCTGTGTAACTTTTCTCGTGATTTCCTGGACACAGTGTTAAAATTGTGTTTTTTTTTAAAAAGAAAGATCGCATCATACCCTTTTAAAATAAGTGGAAAATGTTGAACATTTCTTATGGTGGGTTGCACTGCAAGAGTTCAAATTTTAACCACATCCCTAAAGGAGCAAAACTAATTTATAACGTTTAGTTATTTTTCTGGTACCAGATATTCTGTTAGTAACCATTTTTTATGAGCATTTTTACACTGGCCTTTTTAAGCATTCACAAAATTTGCAGTGCTTGGCTTCAAGAAGACCAATTTTGTGAAAAACTGTTTGCAGATGAATACCATTAACCTTGAAAATTTTTAAACTCTGGAGTATTTACTGTTTTAGACTGCCAGTGATTTGCAAAAAGGAAATTACTCTTTGTATTGTTCATGAAGCCTATTTTAGTTCCAGACTCAAAACGTGCAGTTCCAGAAAATATCCATACCTCTCCACAGAAGGCATCTAGAAATTCCAATTATTAAGCTTCGGACATTTCTTTAAATTTTTTGGTCTTACAGAATTACCCCTCCCCCCCACTCCCCAGGAAATTCCAATTCCTTCTGTTGGAGAGTATGGAAATTTTCTGGAAAGTCCGTACATAGAAATTCTCCCTATTACCATCAATATATTTCTTTATATTAATTGTGAAAATATAGTGGTACGTTAACTCAGTATGTTTTAGTTGATCATTATAGTTATTCTTGTCACCTTTAAATTGGCAAAAGTGCAAAAGTGCAAAGAAGTTATGACTCTTGATAATTTTTTATTTTTTGAATAACTCCATTTTGTCAAGCAGAAAATTAACTCGGCATTTTATAAGATATGGCTTTTATATACTTCCATCATTTACTCTAGACCAGACTTAAAGAGTCATCGATGATTTTTTTTTCCAGTTAAAATGTACTGGTGATCGGTAGATTGTTGTTTCTTTCGCTCAGGGGTGTAGCCAAGGAAAGGGTTAAGTTTTTGACTTGCAGTCCCCTCCGTCTAGTAGGGAAAAATGGTTTCTGCTGGATAATTTGGACAAACTGAGAAAATTACAGTTAGTATGATGCGATGAAGTAAAGGGTGATCATTCGGGGCTCTCACTAAGGGGCGTAACCCGTAACTCCTGTTACGGCTGAGTATGCATGATTTTCCCTTGATGCGACAGGTGAAATTGCCTGTTGTTGAAAGAATTCAACCACAAAGTAACTAGTATGCTACGGGTGTGGAGAGCGAGACTACAGGTGACTCAATGACAGCCATGGCACTAATGTTATTGCTTTATCCTAGAGTTTGGTTTGGGCTTTTGAACCACTTTACTTGGACACACATGGCGAAGGGCAATTTCAATCATGTTTGGTTACCAAACTGGTGGTGTTGTTTTAAGGTTTACCAACTTTTATGGAATCTGGTTTTGTTCATGACAAGGGTGCAGTCCCCCTGGGGTGCTCATGAGTTGAACAGGAAGAGCACACTCAAATGATGTACTTTTTTGATCTGGAGTTGTGCTAAAGGGAAGGGATTTCATGAACTGAAATGTTGGAAAGGGTAGTTAAAACTGCCATTCAGTTATTCAAATGGCTCTTTCAAAAAATCTTGAACAAACTCACCTTATAGCTGAGTCATCAAGGTATTTTGAGGGGTTTCTCATTGCATTGTGCGTACTGTAGATATGTGAAAGGCTACCTTTTCTGGCCAAAATTGTATAGAATTTAGGTTAATGGTTTGGATCTTGAGGCTTAGAGCCTCCCTAAGTAAAACAAGGTCAGGTACCTGCAGATACTCTAGTTATATCTCAGTTTTAACTTTGAGACAGCGTTAGAATATTGCAGAAAAGAGGTTAAGCATTTGATCAGCACTCATTTCCCCCTTGTAATATCAGTATATTTTCAAGCGGATGTGTGATCAGCTTTCAGAAAATCATCAGCCACAGGATATCGTTTTGTCATATTCTGAACTGAACAGTTAATTATCCTTATGTAAACTGCCTCAAGTGTGACTCATAATCACTTCTAGTCAACATTTGATTACCTGAGTTTGAAGTTTACAAATTTGATTGTCCTGATTTCTTGTATGAGCGAGGAGCACAAATAGAGTTTTTCTTTGTTGGAGCACTCTGCATTTTATTTTAGCAAGTACTCTCGAGGAGTTCTCCGACTTAATGTTTCTAAGAAAAATTAAATGACAAAGAGACTTGACTCAAACTTGTTAACAATAGATAAAGCAAAGTAGATTTGAGCACAAATGTGTTGAAAATGAATTTATTTCATCAGGGAAAATTTATCATTTTGTGGAAAAGTGAGGGAAGGTGGAAGCGACATCTATGGCAACCACAGGAATGCAGGCCACAAAAATTATGAAAAGTTCTAATCAATCAGGGGAAATTGTTTGATATTAAAACAAATTCTCCCTACCGGTACTACAAGGAATGTATAAAGACTATTAAGGAGAACATACTTAGTGGTTGACAGTTGATGCATCATCAAATTATTCCAACTGGTACTTTGAGACATGTCTGAAGACCAACAAAGAGAACTATGGCAATGCAAGGTTTTTTTGGTTCATAAAAGTTTTCCTAAACAAAACACTTCTCTTTCCATCAGTGCTTATTTTGTGAGAGTAGTGCCAACATCTATGGCTTTCTGTACAATGTTATCTGTATGGAGTGATAAAATAGTGTTTGGGAATAAACAGAATATGGTATGAACCATGAAAAAGGAACAGCCTAGACATGATTAATGCTAGGCCAATTTTGATTTTTCTGCAAGTTAAGAATGATATGTCAAGAAAATAAGAAAAATACTGGAATGTTTGCTGAAAAAAGTTCACAATATACACAGTGATTTCTTTCCGAGCTTGTTAAAGTTGTTAAGCTATGTTAGACTGGAAAAGGCTCCAAGTCTTAGTAGAAAACATCAGAATGTTGGAGATATAACGGTCAGAAGGCCTCGGTATTCCCGGTATGTTATGTATGTCTTTAATGCATTGTATGCCAGCTCTAATCAAGTCTTATTCAATTTCTGTGGGGTTATTCTCCACCACCTATAAACTTCAAGTAACTAATCATCTTTGGAAAAGTATTTTGAAGCTTACCAAATGCACTTAAGAACTATGTCTGGGTATTTTCTGTTTGATTGACTTTTTTCTGATGTATAGAGTGACCTTCAAATCAATGAACCCTCAATATGTAAGATAACTAAAGTAAACAACAACAGCAAAAACCCTGTGTCTAAACATGATTTGTTTTAGAGCAACAGGTTTGCTTGTGAGGTTGTGTATCTAGCGAAAAGTTTAAGAAAAACAGAAATATGTACAGTAATGATGATAATCATGTTATGTATTCATTCACATTAATAAAACTTTAAAATATATGTATAGTAAAAACAATGAAAAAGCACTTAAAAGTAGCAAAGGCAACTAAGAATGGAAAAGATTGAGACAGATGACAAACTAAAAAAAACTAAGGCCAATCAAGATGCCTTATTCACACTATAGTCCTAAGCCAAGTGTCAGAAAATACATGAAACATGGCAGAAGACTTTCCGGTTACTTAGAGCCCTGTGTCTAAAAGCCTTCTTACAACTCCAATCAACCTTTTTCCAGGCAAAGAAGTTGACGGCAATGAAATTGAAGTAACTCTTGCCAAGCCTGTGGACAAAGACCACCGCCAAGCCAAAGCGGCAGCCAAAGCTGTGATGGGTGCGACGACATACCCCAGCTTCACACCATACGAGTACCCCTCAAACACTGCTGCTTATGGCTTCCCAACATACAGCAGTCAGTACTTCATGTATGGTGCTCCAATGACTGCTGGAATGGGGTGAGAATTCCAAGAGAAATTTTTGTTTATGTTTGCTAGAGCTCTATTTTTAATATTATTGTTGACTACTGCTTGAGGAAAGGAGCCTATGCTAATCTATAGATCAAGTCTGGGTTAAGGCCCTCATGGGGACATTGCGTTGCATTCTTAGGCAAGACACTACTCTCACAGTGCCTC